ATTTGAGATGCATAATATTATAAAATATAAACTTGTAGGAATTTTTGTGATAAATTGGTGATAGTGTTGGCTCTAAAACTTTCACAGTAAATTCCTAACATTATTAGGTGCTCACTGTAATTTTTGTAGCTCCATAATAATTAGTTTGCTAAGGTAGCTAAATGAGCCCTAGTTCAAAAATATATGTTTAATCAATAAAATACCGAAACACCTTGGGATTTTAAAACTAGAACATTTTTCCAGAGGCAAAGCCTTACTTGGTGACGTGGATACGTAGACCAGTATGTTACTCATTAAATCTGGCTCGTTAGCTTACGGAGCGTAATCGTATATTTAAGAAGTTGTAGTTGCCGTTGATTAATTACATCTCTACGTTGCATCCACGTATATCATAATAGGAACAATGATGGATCATGGAGTCAACCAAGGTAGCAGAAAAGATGATGCCTTGATGATCGTGTCACTATGATGGAATGCTAACTTTTGGTTATATCTTACCCAAGCAAGCCCCGGTGCATAACCCATATTATTATGCACTTTATTTTATGCTTGTGCATTAAGTTTTAAGGAGTCGGATGAAAACCACTTGCATATATATATCCTTATTCTATGAGTCCTACTAGTATGTCAGGATCGTGTAGATTGCTATGCTATAGGATCCAGTAGAAGTCAAGTGATTACCTGTCACTCGCGAGAGATAGGAAAGATATTATTGTTGTTATGATATTACTGTCACATGAAATATATATGAATGATAATTGGAGATCAGATGGAATGGTACCTTGGATCTGGACTTGGTTAGGCATTCGAGCGAGGCTTGGATTGCACTTGTTCTGTTTATGTCGATTGAGGACCGTCCGTTGCTATGGATGGTAGTCAGGTCACAGACTTATTATCCTGAGCACATACTTGCTTATGGGAGCGGGAAGGCTCGTTGCTCTTTTGTCATGGGTTCCGGTTCTTTCCGGACCGACTAATTAGAGGCGGGGATGGTGGAGGTCTAAGCACCACACTGAGTCTGAAACTCAGGAGTAGGGGCTTGAAGTCTAAGTTTGGACGGGGACCTGGACCCCTTGACAGGAGAGTGATGGTTTGGTCTTGCTTGTGCCTAGGCACAAGCGGGGCGTGTGTTTCGGGGTACCCAGCTGGGATACATTGGTTCACGAATCGCCATGTGATACGGTATGACTTGACTATAGTCTAGCATCATAGTAAGAACTAGAATATGAAAGATAGTAAAATGGTTCTGATTGCTTATCACCTGCTTGAAAGTAGCATAGGTGCTTACATAGAATGGTTAGTTAAGGAACTAATGATGACTGCTAATGAAATTGAATATAAGGACGCACGTTTAGTAATGCTTCCGCAGATACAATAACTCACAAGCCAGATAGCCTTGCATATCCTTGGAGTTTTTTATTTTTCTCCTATCAGGTAAGTCTTGCTGAGTACAATCGAGTACTCAGGATTTTATTCCCCTATTGCAGGTGATCGGAGGATACTTAGAGCTAACTCTTGTGTGTGGAAATCTCATGATGGGCTCAAAGAGGATTTCTTTCATGCTACGACCGTAGTGTTTATTTATAACCCTCACGAAAAAAATTTATAAGAAAAGATGTAAAATCTGCTAGCAGCTCTTGTATAAAAATATCCACTATGTTAATGCTCCTCCATGTCATTAAATTAATCCTGCTTCCTCTGTTAACTCTGATAACATTGTTATATTCCACTGTTATAATAAATTGAGATAATATTCTGGTACTGTAATAAAGTGATGTAAGAAATGACTTAAGAATGTTGTAAGCTTTATTCTCTCATTTATGATCCTGATGGAAAAATATGTATTTTTGAGTCCTCCCTTGGGGTGTGCTCGATGGAACTGCGTAGTTTAGTGTCCTCTCTTGGGTACTTAGTGCCTAATGAAAGACAAGTACTCCTGAGAGGCATTAGATTAGGCGGTTCTGCCACAGGTGTATGGTCCAACTCCTCCTTGAAGAGACCCAATAGGAGTTCTAGTGTCTTATGAATTTCATCCCCACCAAGGTCCGATTGTAAAATATCATTGCCTATATATAATGCCAAGATCATGAGGGTAAGGGTGCTCTCTCTCACTCATTTGCAAACCCTAGCCACCTCTCCTCTCCACTCTACTCTCCTGTTTGGGACCCCAAATCCCAATAGGGCACCTCATTAATTTGCAATGTCATGGACATGTAATATTGGGACTTTCCAAGTCTACATTTAGGTGTAATATTTAGGGCTGTTAAGACTATTATTTGGGACCGTTAGACTACTAATATTTGGACGGTTACACTACTAATATTTAGGACCTTGGATTACCAATTGTGTGTTATAACTTGTGAGATGTTGTCGTTTATTATATGCAAATATGATGTGGAGGGATTAGAGATAAATTTAGCTGAAATTCTGTCAAAAATTTTTAAAAAAGATGAATTTGTTTAAATTTGGTATGAAATTCCCGAAACAACACATTTATCGCGGGTGCTGAATTTTTTTCCAACAAATAAAAAAATTATGTTTGTCCCCAACTATATAATAGGTAGGCCTTTGTACTACACACGACCCTTTCAGTTCAGGCTTGGGAGTCTCACAGTCTTGGCGGGCCTCGCTGGGAGGCAGACGACGACGTGCCATGACGATGAAGACGATGTCCTATTCGCTCACGGGAAGGGAAACAAGGCTCTGGTAGTAACATTCCGTGCAATGCTGCTGTCGTGTGTCGTTTAACCGCGCGGCAGTGACGCAGGGCGACCGAACGGGCTAGAGCGGTAGCCTCTAGAATGGCCGCTTCCGCGGCGGCAAGGGCCTCCTTTTCCGAGCTCAGCATGTTCTGCCGTGTTCCCCGTCGTGGCCGCCAAAGTGGTCCCCGCCGTGGCCCCCATTGCCGCCGCCGTGGTGTCCACCCTTGGGCCCGACACTGCGGCCGTGGTCAACGGCATTGTTTGGTCGTCCGCCAATCTCACACGCACCACCGACCTACCGATGCTAGGCCTTGAGAAGCCTCGCCACCTTGGCGTCACATGACAAAGAAGCGTCAAACCCCGAAAAAATCGCAGGCATAGCAAACCCCCAAACCCAAAAGGGGAGGTTGATTACCTCCCGCGTGAACGACGAGGCAGGCGCCACGGGATTACCTCGCGCGTGAACGGCGAGCTAGGTGCCACGCGGAGCAGGTGTGGTGCAAGCCGGCTGGCACGGAACATGGTCTTGATGCGACCTAGGGCCACCGACATCGTCGCCGCCGATCGCTATCTGCCGATTGCTCTCGGGGGCACGCAAGCACGGGCCGGGAGCGTCGCAAACAGAGAGCCGTTACGGAAATTGCGAAAATGGTAATGGGCTCTCTTTATTAATAATCTCTTCCACCAAAAGCGGGAAACCCCGTTAACCCGTTACCGATCGAACCTTTTAGAGAGTACAACTTAAGCAAGTGCATGACCCACACACTCCACACCACATCACAAACTGACTCCTGAGCTGGTGCGGTGCAGACCGTAGACCAGTTTTTTCTGGGCTACGGCCGGGGCGAGCCCACCTGTATTCAATGGTATTCAGTTGAATACCTAAATTTTTTGGCAAAAAATTTCATATATACAGTGTATATACAAGTCTGTATATGAAAAAAAAAAGAAAAATACAGTGAACTGCATACATGTACATAGAATTCAGCCCAATTTCTACTCGTTTTCCCTTCCCATCCAAGGCCCAGTGCTGCCTCGTGGCCCATTTTCTCTAGCTGAGGCCCAAGGATGCACGCTCGGCGCTCCCAAGTCGCCCTCCTGTAGCGCCGCTCCCGCAATCGTACGGAGAAACTCGAACGGCTTCGCGCGGCGTCCGGCGTCTGGCGAAAGAAACCCTTCGGGCCTCCCTTCGTGCGACTGGGGGCAGGGGGCAGGAGGCGCGGCCGCGCGACGCGGCAGGCGGCAGCGGGCCAGTAGCAGGCAGCAAGCAGGCCGGCACCAGGCACCAGGCAGTGATCTGTAAGTTCAGATTCACTCACAAAGTTTTAGGGATAGCAATTCTTGAACTATATATTATGCAGTTTTAACTAGGAGTATATGGCATTATACATGCGGAATATTAGCCATTTTGGTTGTCAAGAAAAAAATTAGTACCCTGTATAGTTTGAATACCCAGCCCTCAAAGCGTGTTCGCTGGGCTGGCTGGCTGGGGCTGGCCAGCCTCCTCACACAAACACTGTTCATCTGAACCAGTCAGCAGTACTTTTCTCTCACATAAACGAATCAGCAACGATACGAATCAACCAACCAAACAGGCAAGTCCTGGGCCCGCCGCTGTTTCACGGCTTGTGCCTGGGTTCGTGGGCTTCGCAGAGTCAGGCCGTGGGCACTGGCCACTTCCACACTCAGTGTTTGGAGATATTAAAAAAAACCGGCTGATAAGCCGGTTTTGGCTGATTTATTGTGAGAGAAAAATACTGTACACTCTAGCTGATAAGCCGGCTGATAAGTTAAGCGAACCGGCATGTTTGGAGATGGAGCGCAGCACAGAATTCAGATCACTGACGCAATCTGATCGCTCTTCAGAAAGCAATGCATCCAAATAACGCTACAGCTCCTACCATGAAGAGCAACGAATGCACCAGCCCTTCATACGAAGAACAAAGACACAAAAGATGAATAATTCAGACTGTTAAGCAGCGCACCAAACTCTTGCAATCTCAAGTTCAGAACTTCATATCAGAATGAAGCACCAGATGGCACAAACCATATATGCTTATAGGATATAGGAGTAGCTTGCAAGAACGCGTTGTCCCCAACTGTACAACAGGCAGGCCCTTATACTACACACAACCCTTTCAGTTCAAGCTTTAAGTCTCGCAATCTCAGGTAGGCTTCGCTGGGGAGGTCAGAGGTGGATAACGACGTGACATCATGATTAGGACGATGTCCTACTCGCTCATGGGAAACCAGGCTCTGGTAATAACATTCCGTGTGATGCTGCTGTCGTGTGCCATCTCACCGCGCGGTGGCGGTGGCGCGGGGCGACCGGACGGGCCAGAACGGCAGGGTCCAGAACGGCCGCTTCCGCGGCGGCTTTGGCAGCGCGTCGCCGCTAGCGGCGGCAACGGCCTCCTTCTCCGAGCTCAGCATGTTCCACATCACCTGCACGTCCTGGTACCCGCAGGTCTGCACGTCCTGGTGAAGGCTCAGGATGCCACACTCTGCATTGGTCCAATTCGGAAACATGGGGAGGAAAAGATTAATTACTGCTTACTTTTTTACTACTCAATTAAAATTTCAGTTAAAGCAGCAGATTCCGGTGAGTGAAGATAAAGATCAAATGATGAACCACGAGAATCACAAGGATCGCAAAGGAGATTGGGTGGTCCAAGGCCTAATTGTCTGCATATCCCCACTTCCAACGGGCGGTTGCAAGCAAGAAAGATAGCGTGTCATGAATCTTGGTGTGCAGGGACCATTACCCATCGCTAAATAATTTGTTTGTTTCTTGCGATCTTTTCTTTTCTCCTTTGTCGTTTCAAGAAAGGAGGTAAAGCCTGTGTTCTACTGCAGTGAAACAATGCTAGCAATATGCCTAGATCTGCCGACATTGCAAACAGTTTTGTGTTCCTCGTCAAAAAGAATCGTCACTTCAACATACAGCAATTCGACGAAACGAGCTCCAATTTTTTATGGCATTGTGCGAATCCTAAATGTGCGTTCCTGCTGGCGTTCGCGCAGGAGATTCATGTCATGAACTACTCCTTGACTGCCGCTCCTGCTCTAAGCTTTTGCTCTCGAACGAACACGATTACGCTGCCGACTGCCGTGCAGAGCAGAGGTACTGAGGAGGAGCTAGAAGTAGAGAGCACGGTCTGCTTACTTACCGCCCTTGCGGACGCGCGCGCGCGCGGCGGCGACGGCGAGCCAGGCGCGGTGCACGGGCGCGACCACCCTCGCGCGCCACCAGGCCATGACGCGCGTGCCGATCTGCTGCTGCTGTCGCCGCCTGCCTGCCGGCTGCCGCGCGTCACCGCTGCCGCCGGACCCGCCGACGCACGGCTCGGCTGGCCGCCGGGGCCGACCGCCCAGCCTTGCCGTGGTCGAGGCCTGCCGTCGCAGGCTCGCGAGGAGCCTGCCGCTACCTTTGTTGCCTATCTCTGACTGGAAGTCTGGAACCGATCTCTCCCAGAGAGAGAGTACCCCTTGCCCCGCCTGCCAGTAGAGCGTTTTATGGGTTTATCTTCCTAAAGCCTGGCTTACATTTTAAGTCAGGGCAGCCTAAAACATACTCCAGCAATGTAACCTTAAGTTGTTTGGTTGATCTTGGCTATGATGATAGAATCACATTGCATAAGAATGAAGGTGAACTTACCATCATTCACCAGCAGCAGCACCATGTCCGGCGAGCAACGAATCCACACAATCTCCACCGCAACCACACCAGTCGCCTCCGATGGCCGTCCGGCGCGGGCCTCACATCATTAAGCTTCACGATTCCAACCCACCCCTCCTCGGCCCGGCGCCGGGGGCCGCGCCGGCTGCCATCCCTGCGCCCTTGCGCGACGAGGGCCTCCTCGCGAGCACTCGTGCGCTGCCCCCTCGAGCGCCTCCGCTGCGCACCCCGCCTTCGCCCTCATCATTGGTCTGGGCTATTTCCGTCACCGCTTCCAGGGCGCGTGCCGAGCGAGAGGGTGAGGTGCGCGCCCTCGCCGACCAGGCGGCGCACATCGACCGGCTCCAGGTGCGCGCCCTCGTCAACCGGCTCTAGGGCCTACGAGAGAAGCTCGCATACAAGTGCGGCGGAGGCAGGGTCCACGGGAACCGGTGGAGGCGGGGCCGGCGGGATGCGGCGAAGGCGTGGGTCCAGCCGAATTCAACAGAGGCGTGGGGAGACGTGAGCAGGGACAGCGGCGCAGCACGAGAGCGAGGAGGGAGGAGAGCGGAGGAAGGGAGTCGCCAGCGCAGGGGCAGGGGCAAGGACGACGGCGCAGCACGAGACCGAGGAGGGAGATGAGCGGAGGACGGGATGCGCTAGCCAAGGTGGCTAGTGGGAAACAACTTAGCGATCCGTTTCCAGGAAGTCTGGCTAAGGGGTCCTCCTTGACTTAGCTAAGCCTGGCTATGTGCCCAATCCAGGCAACCAAAGATCTCGTGGCTGGCCTAGCCAGACAGCCCCTATATGGCTTGGAATTTACAAGTTTCCTCTGACCGTTTGTGGCCTTCGGGTTTGGCACATTGTTGAGTGTATAACTTGACTTACTCTTTTTTGTAGCAGTGTTTTTCACAGGACTCTTTCCAAAGCAATCTGCAAGTTTTCTTGACTCCCTGTTGTTTATGTTCACACTGTATTTTTATTATTGGGTGATAAAAAGTTTCGTATTTCATTCTCGCAAGGATCCTCTAGGTGGCTGGCAGGCGTTACGACTACGGCTAGTTCCCACGTGACCTGTAGCTGCCAAAACACGATATAGCACAAACCGAAGCCCACTCTTTTGGCGTAAAATGTTGCAAAAGTGCTCTAAGCGTGTATACGAAACGTCAAAACCATGTGTCCATGCAAGGACTAGAGGACTGTGGATTCAGTTTCACATCCAGTTCAAAAGAAAAGGAAAGGCCCGTCTACAAAACTCAACCGATAAGAAACCGCGGCAACAGCGACGTTTTCGTCCTGCCATTTCGTCGGTCCGTTCGCTAAACACGGTTACTGACTGGTTTAGGCTGGCTGAACAAAGTAGCTCCAGCTGTGATTTGGCAACAGGAAAGTGGAAAGGCGTGACATGTTTCTTGGTTGTTGGGAGGTCTTCCGGGGGCTTCGGATGGATGGATGCGCTCAGGCAGTCAGGCTGTACCGCGCGTGGGGGCATGCGACGAGCTTCACGTGCTGGCGGCACTGCTTATAAGCCATACTTTTTTATTAATGAATAATATTTTTATCTCATAACAAATTAATTAATAGTAATTTCAGCCATTGTTTATCAGCGGGCCGCATATGGGGATGCCCTTCGTTCGAAGCCGCCTTGGCAAGTGGGGGCTTTCTTTTATTCGTCTTCCGATGCCCACGGTGTGAAACGTCGCGCGCCCCCACAGTTTCTCTGGGCTCTCAGCCTTTCATCAGCAGCAGAAGTGTCAAAATCAAAACAAAACTGCATATGCGTGCCGTGCAGGGCCGATAGACAGACCGGCGTGTACAGTCAGCGACTGGCTGTGGAAAGAACATGGCAAACCGGACAAGGATAAGATTCGATATGCCACAGACTAGTATATGTGCTGCAATGGCAATGTGAAAATATGTAAATTTAGAACTCAATTATTGCGGGAGTGTATGCAAATGTACCTTTTTTTTCACACTGCCTGTGAACAGTTGACTTCCATAGTACAGTACTACAGTTGAAGAATGGATGGGGTTTCTGGAACTGGGGTGCTGCTGTTCATGCCCATACCGATGCTGCCACTGGCAGCATGCACAGGCGGACGACCCACAAATCAAAGCTTCACCCTAGCGTATCCGATGTGAAGATGGCATGCCAGAATTGGGGCCATCAATTATTGCCCATATTATTGGTAACTGGTAATTGTCCAAATTAGCAATCTTTGCTGCTGATGAAGTGATCTCCACCTTGTAGTCAGAACGTGCATACATAAGGCGGCTCAGAGTTGCTGTGGATTTGAAGTGACGACGCGCACTATGGCAACCACCAGATTTCCCCGCTGTCCTCGTGGACGGCACGGGGAACTGTCACCCTGGTGGACCACCAGGGTGCCCTGCACATAAGATAGCAATCATGTAATCTTGGCTGCTGCCTAGAGGCACAAATGAATATGCTGTTCTGAATTCCATGGACCCGATCATCTTTCTCATGTGTCTAAAAAGAGGAGTATCAGAAGGGGCAGTATATCCTGTTGCTGATCGATGATACAGCACTACGAACAAAAACAGTCCGTTTAGGTGCCACATGCAGGACACGGCACATCGCATATGAGCATATGGCAGTTAGCAACTTCTGCCACGTGATAATGGAGTGCACTTGGAAAGCTACAAGAAGAGCACATAATAGTGTAGACAAGAGAAATCGTCGCAATAACTTCAGTTCAGCATACAAACCCACAGCCATGTGAGAGAAGCAGGAGCCACTTGACTATGGATTACGCCAGTTGGGCATGATGCATCTTCACTATAAAAATAAGCTCAGTTGGTATCATAGGATTCCTTATGATATTAAAAGTTCAAAACTAACAAGTGCACAAGTGATTATTGGCTCATATTTATCCTATGCATGAGCTGTACGACAATCTCATGCACTAACTAAAACCAGCTCACCACCTAGAATACCAGATACACTATTCAACCATAATTTGGATGCCTTTTATATCTGGTATTTCTATTGAAAAATTTCATTCAATGCTTATCCAAAATTCAGAAAATGACAATGTCAAAAAGTTCTAGGCTACATAATCAGTCAAGGAGACAAGCAGGCAGGCCCTGCTGCATGAATAATTTCAACATGATTGAAAAGTTGATAATGGGAACATTCAATCCAAAAGTGAAGATGGCAAGTTTCTTTCGAACTACATACTAGTGTGATCTTCATACTGCTAAGATCAAACTGCTTGGTGCTGATGTACTCCCTCCGTTCCAAATCGCTTTGACTTTTTTGGTTCATCCATTTTGCTATGTATCTATACATATTATTATATCTAGATGCATAGCAAAATGGATGTACCAAAAAAGTCAAAGTGACTTATAATTTGGAACGGAGGGAGTAGGTATCAATTTCAAAGGTGATCCATCTTCAGCCTGTTCGCTTGCTCGTAAACGATCGTAAATTTCCAGCTGGAAACAGTGTTTTTCTCTCACACCAAACCAGCCAGCAGTAAATAATCCACGATACGATACGGCCTCCCGAACAGACTGTATACAGATAACAGAAACAAAAAGTACCTAGCTGCCCATCATACTCGCTGCTATGATACTTAGCAATTGGTAAGTCAACCAGGCAGATAGAGATAGACCATGCAGTTGCGAATAAGATATTTCTAGACGATTGAAGTTGTCTGGGAAGCAAGTCCATTGCAATAATAAACTTCAGAGCCCTATTGCTAACAGTAGAAGCAAAAGAAATATCTACAATAATATAGGTTACCAGAATTTTAAATGCATCAACAATCTCATTAAAATGAAAAAAATGCATATTGTCGTATTATAGGAAAGCTGAACAAAAAATTCTTAGAAGACTAAGGTGCTGTTTGGTTCGAACATTTATGGACGTGAACCGATTACAATGTATGCTGATCGCGGTACTTTATGTTTGTTTCACAACCAACGGGATCTGGTAGCAGGGTAATCGATCCACGCTTCAGTGCGCCGATTACGTCGAATTGATCGGCCAACAATTCCATTCCCGTCCGTGCTATTACCATGGCCGAACCAAACATTTTACGTAATAAACTATTCCCTTCCCATTCCAGCAGTGGAAAGGTTCCATTTACGTTACCGTTACCTTTTTTCAACCAAACAGTACCTAAATGGATTTCTGATTTCAAATTACCCTCTCTAAGGCGGGGAGTCGCCAAACATGAGGGACACCAAATGCTGCTACAACATTTTTTCTTAAAAATATAATATTCTTGCATCGAGCTATGTTACTGTAAATCTTTTTCCTACAGTGACTGTAATGCCAAGAGCAATAATGGAAAGTAAAGACACCAACTAATAAAAGTATAGAGCTAACCTTCTAATGCTTGACCATTAATATGTCCAAAAGTACATAGATTGGCACAATGGAAACTACATTACTAGTTCTGATATTCAAAACACTTTCATCATATCAGTCCTATTGTAATTTTACTAATAGATATTAAAACGAAGCTACAAAACTAATGGTAAAAAAAAATCATTGTTGCAACCTTGTGAAATACTTCCTTTGTCTGTGAAATGTAAGGCACATTTTGTTTCGTTAGGACAAGATATTGGCGATTACTCCAATAATGTCATTTTCGAAATACAAACTTTTAATCATAAATAAGTACTTCTGAATACGAATCTAATGACAACAATTTTGTATAAAAAGAGTAATAGATTACTCCCTCTGTTTGGAAAAGAACGCAATTCTAGTATAGTACTAAGTCCAACCATCTTGAGTTTGACCAAGTTTATACAAAAAGATGTTAATACTTGTAATATCAAATAAGTACCATTAGATTCATCATGGAATATATTTTCATAATACACCTACGTATATATTGCTAATCTTTTCTATAAACCTGATCAAAGTTTAGATAGTTTAACTAGAGACAGAAGTATAATTGCATCCTTATCCGGACAGGGGTAGTCAGTAGTAGTAGAGTACTTGTTGGTCAAAGTGTTATCCTAACAATACAAACTATACATTACATTTGCAGACTGAGGGAGTAAGAAACATCAAATAAAAAATAACGGAGAGTGCCTAATGAAGTTTTGACGTGTTTCCTCAAAGCAGGGTTAAAAACTGAATTTTAAAACTTCATGGGAAACCAATTAAGGAAACATGACTTTACCAACTACTCCATCCATTCCAAAATGTAGGCCGCTTTAGACTTTGGTTTGTCCTAAGTCAAACTTCTGTAATATTGACCAAGTTTATACAAAAATACACTCTATAACATCAGATTAGTTTCATCAAATCTACCATGAATATGTCTTAACAGTGCATTTATTTTTCTTAGAGAAAGATGGTCCCGGCTTCATAGGAAGCTAGTAAGAGTGTGTTACAAGAATGCTGGTGTTACCAGCGCACATTGCAGCACAAGATGCTCACAGAGCAACACACAAATTGAGCATTTACTTTGTATTGTAGATGCTGATATATTTTCCTACACAACTGGTCAAAGTTAGAGAGGTTTGACTTAAGACAAAACTAAAACGACCTACATTTTAGCCCATAAAGAGATTCAGAAGGCATCCGGTTTTTTACAGTTAACAAGTATTTGATTCATAAGTAAGCAACAGAATTGACTAATACTAATACTAAACGAAATGATTTAGAAGCGAAGACGAAACAACAAAGGAAGAATAGGATACTTGGTATATCACTAAATTTCATTTGCTTTTGAAACATATATAAATAATTTAAGAACGAACAGAGGAATTTAAGTCACCCATTTGGAATATATGTACGCAGTCAAATGGAAGAATTACCTGAGCTGAGTATTATTGATACCATGATATGTACATAGTTTGCTTCAAGTCCCACACACTGCATGAAGTCTTCAATTAGTAATGATCTGATGCCTAGAAGGCTTTTCAGAACCCTATGTGTGCTTCTTCTACAGGCACAATGAAGAATTAAGTAAAAAGAAGTAATATCCAATCACGACCTGCAATACTGCATGACCTATGATCTGCAAGAAATATTGCACAAATACACCTTTTTCTCATTCCACATCAACAAATTGAGTACAGTCAATATCTTGAAGAGTGATCTTGCCAAGAAAGAGATCATTTGCATGCATAGAGCACAAGGGGAGACATTTCTTGTTCAGACTCTCATGAATAGCACCTAATCCGTGGACCCATTTCTTTTCATTCAACGGATCAATATTTAGGCGATTTTGCAGCAAACGTATTCTGTACAGCACAGTTTCTGTTTTTGCACAAAAATGAGCTAGGCATGGATAGGAGGTGCCATCAACTGCTAATCTCACCAATATCATCGTCAAGGCACCATCCACAGGCTTTGGGTCAGACAAGTTTTTATCACCCATCATTTTGATCTCACGTTCTGTTGGGAAGTACACTTCTGCCATTCCATCATGATTTGCTACCTTTAAATCCTTTGTGAAATGGCTAATTGCTTGCCTCTTTGTGCACTCATGCTTCTCTGCTAGTGTCAAGAAGCAGGAGAACCTCAAGTGGTAAGTGACAACAGTCTTGACCATCTTGAAGTTACGGCAACAGCAGAAGAAATCTAACCACCTCCTCCCGACGCCAGCATACCATTTGATGATATCCACATCATCCAAACAGAGAAGTAGCTTAATTGGACGTGGCCGGCCCATGGAATTTGTGAATCCAGTAAGCTTTACCGCCTTCCTTACAAGATCTATCGGCACATTGGCCCTCATCTTAAGCTCTGTCAAGTCCTCAACAGTCCTCTTCTCATATTGTTTCTCTTCTTCCTCCTCAGCTAGCCTCTCCTCTTCTTCTGTCATGTCATGACTTCTCATCGGCATCAAAAAACTGTCAACTGTCTCTTGAAATTTATCATATGAGTCCACCAAGGCAGGTGGCAATTGATCCCTCACCCTATTCAATGACAAGAAGTCACCTGACGTAAGCAATCGGTGCCAATATTGGCAATGCTCACGTGATTCAAAGTATTGTGCTACTGTCTCCTCTGCCCAGTCCCTGAAAACTTGCTGCACCTCTTTCTCAATCCGGAAATCAAATTCAAACTCCTCACCCCTCCTCATCCTCTTGAACAAGTGGTTCAGTATCTTCAAGCCGAGCTTTTTCCGCCTCGTCTCCCGTGCATTTTTCAGCTCCTGTGCCTTTTCAGCCTTCATCTTCAGATACTTCTTCCTTGCCCTCTTCGCTTTCTCTGACATGGGTGGGTGCAAGACTGACGGTGGCACAGCTTGGAATTCTATCCCCAGGAACTCAATCTTCTCTGATACAGCACTGTGGATTGAGCTCCCCAACCTGTCCACCTTCACCTCCAAATCCCTCTCCAAGGCTGCAATTATCCTGTCCCTGATCTCAATTGTGAGCATCTTCGACCCAGACGTCACAACCAGAATATCATCTAGATACCGAACCGCATACACTCTCACAGGTGTATGCCGAACCCTGTCATCGTCATCCTTCATTCTAGGATGCTTTTTGTGCACTTCCTCACGGATGGCCATTATCTCTCCATCCACAATATTGAAGAATATGTTCACTAGCGTGCCAGTGAGCTCTGATTCCTGTGGCAGCCCGCGTCCGAGCTCGCAGCCACCAAGCTCAAACGCGACAGCATCAGAGACGAACAGCTCGTTCAGGAACTCCAGGAACCCGGGATCATCGACCTTATTGGAGATGGCACCGAGCAGACGGCGAACGTGGCGAGGGGCGAAGGGCTGGCGCGGGATGGCGACGCGGAAGAACCAGGACGCGCTGGGAATGGACTTGAGGTATCGGACGGCTGCGTGGCGGCCGCGGTAAGCGAAGGTGGCCGCACGAGAGGCGAACACGGCGTCGAGGACGGAGGCGGCGCAGCGGAAAGCGAGGCGGAGCGGGAGCGTGGGGACGGGGAGCGGCTGGCCCTTGAGACGGGACGGGAGGAGGAGGCGGAGGTGGGATGATGGGGAGGAGAACGCGGCGGCAGCGGCGGCAATGGTGATTGGTGGGGGTTGGGGCGGGGTGGGGAGGGATGGGTGCGCGCGGCGGCTTAGGTGGAGCGCGGAGGAGAGGAGGACGGAGGGGTGCGAAAGGAGGGGGAGGAGGGAATGGAAGCGGTGGTTGGAGGCAGAGTAGTGACAGCGGCGGAGGAGTTGCTCGAGGTCCGCGGCCGAGAGCGGCGGCGCAGCGGGTGGAGTAGGAGCGGGAACGGGAGCGTTGGAGAGCGCGCGGGGTGTGGGGAGGATGAAGCATCGGCACACGCGGGTGTGGGCGAGGCGGTGGAGCATGAGCGGCGGGGAGATGGAGAAGGTGGACGGGCTGCTCGGCTGCGGCGGCCGGGCGGGAGGAAGGCAGATGTTTCAGTCGCCGATCGCCGCTCGACGGGGAGGAGAGGAGGGGCCGTGGCGCGCGATTTGGGCTGAGCAGTGAGAACGGGCCGACGCGCGTGTCCATTTGCTTAAGCCGGCGAGACGAGCTGACAGACGGAAGCCCATGAAACTTATAGCATCTTCAACAAACCAAGGGCCTGTTTGGTTGAGTTTTTTTTTCCTGTTTGGTTGAGTTTTCACCATCTGATTCTTAACTCTAGCTTCTTCATTTTTAATCTTAGACAACTAATCGATACAATTAAAAAGAATAACTCATAAGATATAGTTCATATTTTTTATATTTAAAAAAATAAAAAAAAACTGCAACAAAAAATTAGGCACCAGAAATATAAGAGAAATGTTCTCTCTTACAAGACGAAAGTTGCACCATGAGATCTAGCATTTTATCTTGCCACGTGTTCAGCTATTACAAGGCCACGTTCGCAAGGCGCCACTCCAAGGCGCACGCACCGGCCGGGAGGGAGCCTGCTCTGCCTTTGTTCCTTTCCTTATTAGCTTGAATGACGTCATCTGATGGCAAGCCTACAATACGGCCGTTTTCCTTCAGGAAAATAAATTTAATAATACATTAGAAATACACATATACTAGCAATAAACCTCGCAAGTCGTCACCAGATCTGTGGTATGGTACGCTGGCTAAAAGTGTCACCTAAAATAGCTTATATTATACGAGAGTGCAAAAAAATAATTTATTTCTATAAAGAGTATTTTTTTGTGACTTATATTTCTATAAAGAGTAGAACTAACCGAAAAATGATGAAACTAGTATAGTAATATTATTACTGATTAGTCAATACAATTCAAAGATGACAATATATATTTTCCATTTTCCAAAAAAAAAAAGGTTTGCTTTGCCTCTACGACTACGAGTATGCTCTGCTCTGCTCAAAATGTCAATCTGCTCTGCTCAAAATGTCAATAATTCATCATCTTCATCTTGATGTCATTTCGATGAACAACATCAACAGGATAACGATATAACATCGAATCAACAGATTTTTTCATTAGCTTCTCCCACTTGACATGAGCAAGTATAGCTCTTGACTCAAAATCAATAGGATCCTCTAAAAAGCATTAACAAATAGACGTCCTAATTCTACAGCAAATAGTCAAATAGGGAGCCTCAAACCAAATGAACAATGCAAGTTTTGTACCTGTTAAAATTATTTTTTATTGAAACAAACATATTACATAAGCTGAACCTTACATGTATTAGTACTACCATAATTTTCTTGTTTTTTTTTTTGAGAAATACCATAATTTTCTTGGTAAAGCCATATATTTTAAAAACACGAATGTCGGTATATACAGGGAAAATCATGGAGAAGCGCGGCAACGCCGCGCACAGTTTTCTAGTTAGGCACGGGAACCTGATGAACCTTGCGACTATTACTGTCGTTTAGACGTTAACCACGTGTCCACGCCCATCGCCCATCTCCCTGCGGCTGCGGGGCCACCGGGTATGTAAACGAAACAGCTAGCTTCCGGCGCCTTAAATGAAAACTTAGGCCTCGTTTAGATTGCAATTTTTTTTTTGTAATTCGGATACGGTAGCACGTTTCGTTTGTATTTGACAAATTTTGTCCAATCATAGATTAACTAGACTCAAAAGATTCGTCTCGTAATTTACAACCAAACTGTATAATTAATTATTTTTTTTACCTACATTTAATGCTCCATACATGTGTCCAAAAATTGATATGATGGAGAGAGAATGAAAAAACTTGAAATTTTGATGGGATAAACAAGGCCTTACTTCCATCGCCCATCTCCCGGCTGAGGGGGAGGAGCAGAAGATGAACGATGTAATCATCTAACCATCCAATCTGCGGTGCCATCTCTTTAGACACCATTGAGACCTGTCAACTTTTTTCATTTCGACAGAGCACGCGTTCTTGGCGACATATTTTAGTGCAATTAACTGTGAGTTTGCTGGCATTTGCTAGAGAAATCAACTCGGTTTTAAGCCTGGAAATTCCAGCATGCCAAGTAAACTCTCCAGGATGGCAACCAACGCAACAACCAAGTACAGCTTGAACATCAAAATAAGCAAGGTAATCATGAGAGACAATAAGTATCTGGAAAAATTTACAAGTATGATCTGTTATTACGGAAACAAACAGGAAGTACAAAACAACAGCCCCCAGAAATAACATTTTACAAACTCTTTTGTACAGCATGATCTGTTGTCTAAATTACATTATCCCTTATTATCCCGGGACTCTACTTTTTTTAAAAAAATAGAACAAATATGGCTTCACAGGGGAAAAAAGGGTTCGCAAGCTCACAAACAAACCTGTGACCTTGGGTAGGAAAGAATCGGAGTGACCGGATCACCAATGCAGTGATCTGGCACAAGTCATCGCACATGCAAATTGTCAGTGAAGAACACAAATCTGGAGCATGAGCAGCTAAAAACTCACTGGACTTGCTCCTCCAAATCCCACCGAGGGTCCCTTGACCCTGGTAGGCTACACTTACAATGGCATTATGACTCTTACCACTTGTGAATTGACTATGAGAGATTGCGAGTGCCTGTGCCTGAAAAAATGGTTTTACCTTTGAAAACAGTGTCATTGTGTTTTGACTTAGCAAAGAAAAGCGCAGTCTGTTTGACAGTAGCAGGTTTCAGAACAGCTGAAGGGCAATCTTGAGCCTGTTCTGCTTCCACTTTGGTAGCTTCCCAAATGCCTCCTTTGTCATCCCAAACTTTTCTCTGAACTCCGACGAAGACAGATATGTCTGCAATGTGCCAGTATTGTAGTTTTAGGGCTTGAGTCAGGCAATGGTGCTGTAAGGGCAGAAAGATTTACCTCTCGCTTGGTAACATCAATGTCTGTGGGGGGATTGGTGGAAGATGTCCTCAAGCAGTCATATGGGTATATAGGAAGCCCTGCTTGACCCTCTGCCTGACTCTCTTTTACATCTTCCTCTACTGTAGGAGTTGCAATTTGACTGTCCTTTGTAGGGTTAATTTCCTTGGCGTTCGTCTCTAGTTTAGGTTTGCTCGCTTCAATTTGGGGCTTGCTTGCATCAGGGCTCGCTTGACACCAAAAGAAGATAGAAGGTAAGAGAAACCATGCTTGAAATGTAAAATACCACTATCCTTTTTAGGGATGCTAGCATACCTTTTATTGACTTTGGTATTAGAGTTGCTTTAGGTCGCTCAAAAGTAGAAGAAATTGCAGCGATTGAAGCTGTCCTTGGAGGTGGCTTCGAAGAATCAGGAGATACAGGCTTCGGAAGTTGTTTCCTAACAACTGGTGGAGGAGTTGATAGGTTTCGGGCATTTGGGTTCTCGAAGTTAGCAGCCAATGCATTGAAAGCAGGCGACCTTCCTCTGACTCTTACACGATCAGGACTGAATGACATACTTCTGGAACGTTGAGATTTATCAGGTACACTAGACCTTCCAGTGTGTGTTGATGTTGTTGGCCTTCTTTTTGGTTTCTACAAATATTATAACCATGGATTAGCCTAATTCTAGGAAAAACAGCATTAGGAAACTGAGCTAAACACAGTGAATGCATGTGCTACCAGCTACTTCCAATTTGTTGTTTTGTACGTTCTTGCATGTATGTTCTTGCAAGTTGCAAAACACAAGATATCAAGAAATGCTAAAATTTGAGATCTGACTAGTGATACTTAGCCTTTCATTATTATGAGTTCAACAACAACGTAAATAACTAGCCAAAAGTATCTGGTGAAAATGCACCATTGGTTGCATAGGGTCATGTAGTAAACACCAATAAATGAATGTGCCAAAATACAATGCTACCATAACTCACAAATATACAGTACTGCATTTTGTAACAAATTTTATTTTTCTTTATTTCACTTCATTTTTAGTTGACTTAGGACATGTTGATCCAGTCAGCCACGCATATGGTCCCAACTGCCTGACAAGATACTCCCTCAATCCCAAAAGGATGCAATTCTAAAATAGTGCTCAGTCAAACTGTCTTAAGTTTGACTAAATTTATATAAAAAGGTATTAATGCTTAGCATACTAAATAGGTATCATTTGATTTGTCATGGAATATATTTTCATAATATACCTATTTGGAGTCTTAAATGTTGTTACTATTGTTCCATAAACTCAATCAAATTTAAGTCAGGGCAAAACCTATGATTGCATCCTTCCTGGGACGGAGGTAGTAATTGTCATTATTGGATACAGAAATCTTACATCTGCTCTTGGTTTTACTCCATCCTTCACTATAGATAGCCTCCTTTCAAATGAGTTACCATGCATCTGAAACAACTCACAAGGCAAAAACATGAGTTTAGCACGTGATATTTGCACAAACTCCAAAGCCAATATAATCCAAAAGGGAGTGCTTACTGCTGATTTTGCTGAATCCCAACTGAAGAACCTGGTGAAATATTGGGGTTCACTTCCTTCAGTGATGACATAAAGTGGTGTTTCTCGTGATACATTCTCCATTAGAATGTCAAGTTCTAGAAATTTCTGCCACAAAGCATGGTTTCACAATCCACTTTAAATTTTGAAAAAAAAAAGCTTCTCATTTATAGCACTCTATACAAAGAAAATATGAATGTATCATATACCTCTCCAATGTTCAAAGCTTGTGCTCGTATTTTTGTGTCCACACGTTGTCCAACCCATACAAAGACACATGAGTGACAATCCAAAATAAATATATCCTCCGTCATCAAATCATCTTGAGTGAAGTTGAATATTTCTCTGACCTACAAAACCAGTTCACCAGCATTAATTATTCAGCACACTATTTTCATGACAAACAATATATAAACTTCAGCATACGCACCTTAAGCACCCCTTCTCACCCAAAGTATGCCCACGGGAAAAAAATAAAAAAGAGGAAATCAGATAAGGTGCACAATGAATTATAAAGACCAATTAAGATATTAAGATAATGAATAAATGCAGTGGGAAACTTTCAAATTTGTCTTACCCTTTATAAATGTACAAGCAAATAAATGAGGGTCACTTTCTTGATCCCTCACAATCTTCTGGCTGCCATACTCAGACTTGACTCCAAGTAACTTCCAAAACTGATCATATTCAGATCCTTCTTTGAGCATTCTGGATTGCAAATTTGGCTGCATATATAGTGGATAGAAGAATGGTTGGCTTCAGTGTTGTATTAGTTTATATGATGATAGAGCAGTGAGCAGCGCAACCAGGACAGAAACATGCTCAGGTAAAGTATAAATATAAAGTTACACAGAAGCAATCAACAAGCCAACATGCAAGTTGGGAAGATATGATCAGGAAGCATATATGTTGTCGTAATACAACTAGACAAGCAATGAACTGATTTACTGCCATACAATGACTATGTTGATTTAGTAATAACATGATGTACACATGACAGGAAATTAGAATAAGTAAATAATATTGTATGATGATGATGGTGTGCAAATAAGTTTCGAAGATAACGTTGTACAACATATTAGTAGAAAATATATAAATGGCTGTAGTGATTATTAAGTCATCATAAATGCAGTAACTAGCAATCTACTACATAACTAAAAAAGGGGCGTACCCAGTGCATAGAGCTCCCGCTCTGTGCGGGGTCTATGAAAGGGTGTCAGTGGCAAGCCTTACCCTCGCTTGTGCAATGCGAGGAGACCGCGACTCGAACCCGGGACCTTCCGGTCACAGGCGGTAAGACTCTACCGCTTGCACTAGGCCCGCCCTTCAATCTACTACATAACTAATTTTGAGAAAATCTTTAGCTTAGATGCTTGACTAGTCATTACACACTGGTTGCCATCAATCTAGAAATAACAGAAAAAAGAAACACAACTAAGGCCTAAATTATCATGTGGATAATGAGTTCATTGAAGTGCAGCGGCAACATAGCAGAATGTTCATTTGAATGGTCAACCATGCCAACATGAAATAATCACTAAAAAACACTCCTCAAACCTTGATCACATCTAGCTGCCTCTCAGCAAGCTCTTGGTCCATTGATGAGCTTAGATTACCGATCCATGTAAATACTGTATCTCCATCATGCAGTATGTAACAATAAGAAGAGTTCAGCGATGATGCTGCCTGGTAATAAGAATCATAGCATTGTCATAACTTTTGCAATGTGGTAGAAACATAACCCACTAAGATAACAAGGCCATAACACAACCATAATGCCTTGTTTGGAGAAGACAATAATAAAAAATAAAGTACCGTGTCAACTTGAATAGCTTGCATATTCTCTGGCCCTGAGCCCTGAACTCGAAAAAGTGCAACCCCGTTTTCTGAATAGGTATCATCTTCAATGCCATTTTCCGAGACAAATTTCTTATACCCAGTACTTGTACCTCCCTGTATTTAGTGAAAAAAGTAAAATACACATATGCAACAATCATATTACCGCTGTAAGGAGAAAGAATTCACAGAAGCTTATTCACATGAATTTGGTTAAAGAACAACCTTGTATATAACCAAGTTTTGAAATATTGGGAAAAATTCAATGGGTTCCTTTCCTTCATAGACGCGAACCTGTGATGACCAAAGAAAATGAGGTTAGGATAGTTAACCAAGATTTACAAAAAATCTTTTAAGACAAGACTAGAAGAATATTAACCAGAACAGCCTGGAATTTTAAAGACTCAATCATCTTGTCAGCTAGTGAAATGGCTGCACTTCTTTCCTCCTGTTTATATATGGAAAAAGCAACAACATGGTTAAGTAATCCAACTCGATAGCATTTAACAAAGAAACAAAAGTGTTCAGAAGGCCATAACTGAATGCTCCTCGGAAATAGTGATTAATCTAGAAATGTTGGAAGTGTAAGCAACATAGAATCAGTTCCTAGACTAGACGTTGGTTGCTTTGATACTCGTAAGACCATCTTCTATAATACAAAGTGGTATGGTCTCACTAATTTTGATTTTTAAGAATTAAGAATATGCAAGGCTCAATCTTTCTTTTAATGATTCAGCTTAGAACAGCATATGCGTTTCCATTTTCTCACAGAACACAAAGCACATTGTTAATAAAAGACATGCACTAAATAATGAGACGTTGCGTAAGTTTCATGGCAATGTATCAATCATATGTGCAATACAGCAAATGGAAAATGCATTAAACAGTTACCTGGACACTCTTCTTCCCAAACCAGGTACCAATAAGGCATTCATCTCCATTGTCTCCAGGGTAGGTGTATTGAAAGATATAGCAGTCTCCACTGTAAAACTTGCATTGCTCAGAGAACGAAAGGAAAGTCTTATCACTGCCATTCACGCGCCAAACCTGTAAGATATTGGCTACCTGAGATTCTGTAGATCTAAATGACACTTTAGTTTCTTTTTTCTCGAACACGCAGGAGAACTGCATATCTTCCCAGTGTGCTGCATATTACTGTGTATCGGCTGCCTCTTGGGTTTCTACCCAGTGTGCTGCCTAGGGACTCCAGGCATGTTGCCTGGGACTTCCCCCCTCTTAACTCTCTAGCTTAGCCTCTCTCTATATATATGTAACCGAACTCCTCTTCATATTATCAAGAGAAATATAGAAGCATGTTTATGATCTATTATTTATATTAAGAAGAAAAAGGGGCAAGACCCTTACAACACACACCCTTGTTTCTGAGATTACATATCTGCCCTTCTGTTACAACGAACACGACCATGACACGAGAATTAGAATACACCGGGCCCTAGGGCAAGAAGGAAAGAAATGCACCGGGCCCCTGCTAAGCTCCAGTAAAATATTTCCTCAAAGGTGAGCAGCAAAGCTCCAGAAAAATGGCACTTTAGTGTTATGGTAGGAAAGTCTTAAGTGAATGAGTGCATGAATGGTAAGAGCAACACTGCAGGGCCAAAATCGCGTTGACTTGTTAACAGTGAAGGGCAAAATCACAAAGTTAGAAAAACGAGGGCAAAATCACAATTGCACTTGAAAATAAGGGGCAAGAACACCAAAAACCCAAAAAAAAAAGAACACAAATGTAACAGGCTATTATATAGCAGTACAATCCTACTATCAGTTGTATTATGTCACAAGCTCAATAAATGATAAATCAATAGCTACAACTGATTGTGGTCTGGTTGCAATATCTTTTCTAAGAAAGGAAGTTCACTGACCTGTAAATTGCCAGTGCAATCAATCTGAGGTTGAGGCTCTTGCTTTACAGGAGCAGCTTTTGCTGGACCCTTAAAATTAAATCCTTGTCGCTTAAGAAGAGCTACAGTAGGAAATTTAGTTATAAAGAATCAGTTGTAGTAAGTAAAATACAACAACACAGCCTTTCAGTCCCAAGCAAGCTGGGGTAGGCTAGAGTTGAAACCCACCAAGAGCCCCAAGTCAAATAAAATGAAAATAAAAATTGTGGCTCAGATGATAACCTGCCACTTTTCCTCTGCTTTCATCCGACACAACTGCATCAGCTTTCTTGGGCCATTTATCAAACTTTGATTTGAATGTAATAGTCTCAAATCCTTCCATGAGCCGAATAATATGAGATTTTGGCCGGTTTCCTTCACGTAGTAATTCCTGGAGAAGTAAGAATGTGTTTCTGTATGTTTAGAGAAAGAAATAGGCCAAATATTGTCTAAAATATGTGGCAAATTGGAAAATGAGAAAAACTGGAACGCCAAGGCATCTTCTCAGATAATGGAATTTAACTACCAGGGATATCTTAAACTTGATGAAAACCCATATTGTGGATCATGCTGATTTGCTGAACTACCCGCCAAGTAAAGTTGAATTGGTCAAAAGGCCTTCTCTTGCACATAAACTTTAACTTACGTCAAACATGGCACTACTATAATATAGTCAATACTCGCTATAGGAACTCTTTATTATTGATGCGGGTGGGCCCAAACTCTTTTATAGGCAATTTCTAGTTTTATGCCTAAGCTTCCCATGCTTGTCAACATTGGCTGCAAAATTTCTTAGCAAATATACATCTGTGGTTGCCACATTGGTGATGGACCTTAGCTCTATTACATCTGTGGTTGACCTCTCATAGGCCTCTTTTTTTCCCTATATCTGCCTAACTTGTGAACTTTGTAGTGGCTGGTTCACATAAAGTAGAGCATTATCATAGCCACTAAATCAAGATTGCAGAAGCAAGACAATGTTACCTCAGCAGCCGAGCCTCCTCGTTTCCTTTCTTCAAGAGTTGTTTCTCTACCCATCCAGACATAAATTTCTGAACCACAATCTAGTAGGTAACATTTTGTTGAATCTAATAGCTCTCTTTTCAGAATTTCGCAATCAATAGGAGCTGATTGGCCCTTATTGACACTGGTAAAAAAAATAGAAAAAAACATTTCAGTAATAGACATGCTATAGCATAACCATGAAAGATATAATTCATTCAAAAAGAATCGCAATGTTTTGTCCCTTGTGATATATTACCAAAGCAATTTTGTAGTGGAAGTAGAATCTTTCCCGTTGATTTCAGAAAATGTCTTTCTTGGTAAAGGAGCAAATCCGCCAAAGAGACCCCAGAATTCACCAGCATCAGCGTCTGCCATCAACTTTCCATCCTCTGTTTGAAAGACTCAATTATAATTCTGAAAGAATACTGGACCTTGTCCATTTAAGCTTGTATAAACCCTTTTGGCCAAAATTAACTTACCAACTGCCGCTACTTCACATTTCCCATCATGGTTGGTATCTTTAAGATGTTGCACAACCTCAAGTGCTTTAGCCCTCTCCTGAATACTTGAATTTGATCCATTGAATTGGAATATCTTAGATTTTGTATCTAAAATAAATATGTCATCATGGTTGAGTGATGCTCGTGCAAAAGGAACCTGTTGGAGAGGGAAAAAAAATTGGAATGTGGTATCCGTACTAGGAAGCTATGAATGTACAGGGACCAATTGACAACGAAATTCACCTCTTTAACATGAACAGTATGCTTTCCTCTGCAGACAAATAATCGTGTTTTATGCTCCCGCTCATTTACTTCAGCATGCCTGAAGCCAGATGCAACACCACCTTCCTCTGGTATAATACACGGCTTAAAGTATGAAAGAAATTTCTCAGTCTCATTTCCCTGTATTTCACGGTATTGGACAGCTCTTCCACCAAGAGCAGCATCGAGTTCCACAGTCTTGATTGCAGCTGTACCAGCTTCATCCTATTCATTAATAACAATGCAATTTGTAAATCTTCTTGTTCATTAGCTACATTGCAAGCAAATGAAATGAACTTAAAATGTGAAAGCAAACCTGACTGGTATCTTTGCCGAGCCAATAATGGATATCATGCCGAAAAGAACCATTCTTAAGGGCAGTTGTCTGTTCAAAGAACAAAATAACTATTAATAACAATCAGGATTTCACTCCTGATCGATATGAATATGAGCATATAACTGTAATCTGAGTATCTGCACAATATAAACATTTTATTGTAGCATAAACAATATACTGAAATGATCAGTAGCATCAGAAACAACTAATTCCTTCTAGTATGAAGGATGCATGATTTGATAAGCATGTGAACTGGGGAAGTAAAGATGTAGTGATCTTTGGAGTAAAGATGTAAGCAATGGAAACAGTTGCACTCCTGACATCAGGCAGCTCACAACATTTTCTCCCATAGAACTAAATATAGGAATTGACACATTTACTATATGAGCAAAGCTGAGTACCTTCAGTACTATATAGGAATCTCCTGTGAAAAATTTCCCATACAACTCCTTGGGAACAGGAACAGCCTGTAACTTTTCAATCCGCCATATTTCCAATCCACTGATCGTTGTTAAGGATAGTACTACAGAGATGAATTAATAAGAATCATAGACAAACAGAATTGAATGTTAGCACTGCAGCACCATGCTAACCTAATGTCCCCACTTATTATCACAAAGGTTTACCGTGGACTCGCGGTTCATGAAATATAGTTTGTGGTCAACCCACAAGTTTTTGAAGGATTTTCTACTGGATACTATGGCAGCAGGGACTAATTCGAAATAATAATATGACTGTAATGAGAAAAATGATGGCACATGACATTCTTGGAACGAAACGACTGGCAGGGATAAATATAGATATTGTGACCAGTACAGACTAGAAACTGAAGGATACTCTTTTTGACCTGCACCTTGAAAAACAGGATCCACCTCCCTCATTGAAACAGCCATAGGACCCCTAGATTTTGTCGGACTAGTCTTTGGTGGTTTTTGCTTCAGGAGAGAAGAAAAGGTGTGCTGAAACAGGGAGGAAAAGAAAAGATGAATCCTCAAAGCAAGCCTGTATAAAAGCATTCTTAAACAAGAACATAAATACAGATCCTTTAAAAATATTTTGACATGGATAGTTAAAATCCAAAGTGAGATGAATCACATGCGGATTTTTGGACAACACTGCATGCAAAAGTTTCCTATTCAAAGTGCCCACTGATAGAAACACAATGTCGCTTGTGAGTTTGCCCTTCATAAGGGCTGAGGACTTCCTTCTATGTCATTAGAATGTCTAGCAATTCCCAAGACCTCTGGTCTGCTCCTGTATAATGATTGCAGCTCGAACAACACCCAAGAAACATCCACAAACTAAAGGAGTTGGCATGACATAGAGCAAGCTAGCATCCTGATCACAGTATCATCCGGCTTCAACAATGTGACAGAAATTGCTTGCATCCAACTATGATGCAGAAAGTACTGAGCATAAGATTTGCAAATACCAGCTAATTCACTAAATTCCAGATAGAACATCACATCTTTTGTGTGCTCAAACTCCTATGCCCACAGAATAGACAGGTGCTTGACATGTTTCCAGGATGTTATGGAACTGCTCAGTGAGCTCCCACCTTCCATTCCGATGAAGTACCAGCTGCCAAATTTGATCAGCCCATGTAACAGAAGGTTGAAAGCTAACCTGAGAAATGCGAATTTTCTTTGTGCAACTCCCGGCCAAAGTCCAGTTGAGAAGACATGACATCCTAGGTCCAACAAAACATCCATGTCCAGCTCACTCAATCCAAAACAAAATGGATGTGTGGGAACTTGCATGACTCATGCTCCAACACACAAAACTAACCGAACCTTGCTTCCAAAACAATCCAACTGGGTAGCCAAAATCAATGACTTCTGGAGCACGAATCGGCATCAGGATCAGCAAACAGAGCCATCAAGTGGCAGATGAACAGGCACAAATCGGACCAAATTCCGGACAACCCAGATCCACCTCACGCCCAAAAAGAAAAAACAAAATCGCTCCTCTCATAAGACTAGTCTCCAGACAGCGGCTTAAACCATTACAGTGATGCAACGTCTGATCTAAATCGCACAAAATGGGCATTCCCATTCCAAATGCCAAACGGCCAGATCCCAATCCGCCATCCAGAAATCAACCAAGCAAAATTTCCCCACCACTACAACATGCTAAACCCCATAATTCATCCACGACCCACTAACAAATCCCAAAAACTCACAGAATTCCCACAGCCCAGATCCGACGCACCCAAGCCGGGCAGCCAAGAAGAGACCCCCGCGTACCTTGATCGCTGGCCCCGGCGCGGCCATGATCAGACCTCCCAGATCGCCAGAAGCCGAAGCCCCGATCAGAGGACCAACTTAACCACCCCCGCCGCGGGCACCATTAAACAAATCCCCGGCCCTTCCCTCCCCACATCATTCCCTAAAAAAAATTGCTGAAATGGAGGATTCGGTCGCCACGCACCTGGGCCGGGGGCGGTGGCGGAGTCGAATCGTGGGGAGGACTAGCTAGCCAGCGGGTTGCTGTCGCTGCTGCCGTTAGCGCGCGCCCGGGCTGGCGTTAGCCTTTTGCGGGGGCGAACGAACGAGGTGAAGCCTCCGGATTAACTAATAATACATTAATCACCCGGTTAAACGGGACGGAGCGGAGAGAGGTTGTGTTGGGGAGGCGAATGATTGGAGGCGAAGGCGAGGCGTGGCGGGTGGCGTGCTCGCCACTATGGCGGAGGAGGAGGAGGGAGAGGAAGACAGGACAGGCGAGGTGGAGGTGGAGCAGCTGTTTGGGAGTTTGCGCCATTTATATTTTGGATGGAATTCTTCGCTGCGCCGTTATTCTGTCGTGGCTCCTCGTTGTGACGAGCTGCCGAGCTGGGGAAAACGGCCGTCTGCAGGCGAAAAATAAAACAAATTATACAAGTAGTTACTGTTAGACGACATGTTTACTGTAACACCATATTGTTAAATCATGGACTAATAGTCTTAAAAAATTCATCTCGTAAATTAGTCTCAATCTATACATTTAGTTTCGTAATTAGTCTACATTTAATACTTTATGTATGTGTCCAAATATCCGATATGATAACAACTAAAATTTAGGAAGTGCAACCAAACACCCTGGGCCCCTAATGCTAACAGCATAGAGGACGACATGGGCCAGCTAGATCTGCATAATTAGGGAGAAAAAGAAGGAGAAAGGGAGCTCGATAAAGCGAGAGACTAAAAGGTTGTTGAAAATGATAGGAGCAAAATGCTCGTCAAACTTTGAAGGTTCCAGCAGCCTGCTTCATATGATAAACAAAACAAGAAATGATGGACAATGTCGCCTTCAAGGAAATGAAAATTCACACACCGTTTGAAATTCATGCCATATTTGAACTCGGGGACAAGAATGGTTCAACTTATGCATTTTAATGCCAACTTAGATAGAGTACTATAAAGATTATCGGGTATATATACGAGTTAGTGTTGGAGCAGAGTTATGGAGAAAAATACAAAATTATGAGGAAGCTTGGACTCCAGCTACAAAGAAAAGAAATTCACCGTGAAGTGGTTTGGATTATTTTGACCGTTAGACTAATGGTTATTAGGAAAAATACAAATTCACAAGGAAGTTTAGCTGTGAGTGACTCTACTTCTTAAAGAAAAAAAACTAAAACAAAGCAAAATTACACGCACACTAGGTGGCTACAAGGATACTCATCGCGTGCATTGGTCGATGGAAGCATACTCGGGTATACCGCATACTTGGGAAGTACGAGGCGACAAGGATGCTAATATGCTATGGTCATGTGTTGTTTCCGTGTTTGAGGCGCTTATACGCGAGACGCCGGAGAAAATCTCGCCGAACGCCTTGAGATTTTCGCGCGTAACTGAATAAGCGGGGAAATGAACTATGGAGGCCGAAATCGCAAATCGCAAGATTCAAGCCGCGTTCGGCTTACCACGGTCACGATTTTGTTGGTCATTGTTCCAAACAGGACCTATATGTATGATACCAACCGTTGGTAGCACCTTGGAATAGCAAAGAGGTGACAATCACACAAGCGCAAAAACCTATGCATTCATTAGCAGGATTTGAATATTAATCATACTTAAATTGCATTTTGTACGACTCCACCACCATGCTAAGAGAATCTTCATCAGCTCCTAATTTACCCTCGTATGAACACCATTGGTTGTTTCATTCCAGGAAGAATTACAATCAGATTGTTAGAGAGAGTTTTTACTCAGATGGCATGCTAGCTGCCCGGCCTTGCCCATACAGATGTTCTTACCAAAAGTACCAAGCGAGCAAACAAAGGTCAAGAGGCTTTCATACCACACACACAAAGCTGGTCCAGTAAGCTGCTCCTCTTTGAGGCCCCGTTCGGCTTACCCATATTTGATTTGTTCGGTTTTTTTTTCAGTCGAAACAGTATTTTTCTCTCACAACAATTCAGCCAGAATGGTGTTTTCAACCAAAATTCTGCCAGCCGAACGGGACCAATTTGTTGAGCTGTCTAGAGCTCGAAGCCATCGGTGCATCCATAATCCATCTAGTCCAACAGGAAAAAAAAAGTGTTATTGCGCCGAAAGGTGACGAGGATTAGGATAGTCCACGTAGCCATTCACAGAGGTCGGCCACCGCCCAGACGGAATACGCCCACCGGCAGCCGGCAGCTCAAAAACAAGTCTGTCTGTCTGGGAGGCGAAAGGGAGAAACGGAGAGCGACAGGGCGACGAGAGGTGCGTACCGGATGGGAGAGCGGACAAAAGTCCAATTCCCGGTGCCGCCCAGTCGTACGCGGCGCGCGCGGAGCCAGCGCGACCCTGTGGAGCTGGGGCCCGGCGTACAGGGATGTGACAGGGTGGACGCCCCCCGTCTCGGTGCCAGGACGGGGCGGGTTCCCGGAGGGGTCCAGCTAGTCGTTCAGCTGCGCGCCTGTGCGGCCGGTGCGGCGTGGTGAGCCGGACCGACGTCTGAAGTCTGAGGCCCTGTTTAGTCTTCTCTGCTATAATTAAAAACTTGAGAGTCATATTACGGAGGCTTCAACGCTCCTGTCCGTATAAAAGGAAACAAACGTCGTCCGTATTGACGAAAAAAAGGAAACAAAAATTCCCTTCCGCGCGAGCACGCCCGACGCCCGCCCGTCCGTCATCGACGAAAAAAAAGGAAGCCCGACGCCCGCCCGTCCGTCACGACAACCAGCAACGGCGATTCCGCGACGTGCCTGTGCTAGCAGTCCACGACGGAGGACGACCGGGATCCTAATCACGGCAACCAGCAACGGTGATTCCGCGACGGACGATCAGCGGCGGCGACACGTCCCTCCATCGTGATCTACATCGAGTGCCGTCCGCGACGTCGACTCCGAAAGCTCCACGGAGATCATGCGCGTGGCCAGTGCCCCCACCTCCACGGACAAAGCCTGAGACCTCACGCACTTGAAGGTTTGCCTTGCCTTCCTTTTTTTTATTTCCGTCCACGACGGAGGACGACCGAGATGAGATCCTGATCACGGCAACCAGCAACGGCGATTCCGCGACGTACGATCAGCGGCGGCGACATGTCCCTCCATCGTGATCTACATCGAGTGCCGTCAGCGACGTCGACTCCGAAAGCTCCACGGAGATCATGCGCGTGGCCAGTGCCCCCACCTCCACGGACAAAGCCTGAGATCTCACGCACTTGAAGGTTTGCCTTGCCTTCCTTTTTTTTATTTCCGTGAAGGCTAGGGTTTATTTGAATGCCTGCATGCCTGGGCTTAGGTTTGCCTTGCCTTTCTTCAAATCTAGAGCCAGTGACAATGAATTGATTAATGCTTTGCGTAAACTTTGGCACTACATAGTTTCAAAGCTTAAAACTTGATGCACCTGTGAAGCCAAGCCATTGTGAAAACATGATTCTGTTTCATGGGTGTACACTGGGAAGCTAAAGCTATAGCTCCAATATGTTTATCTGCACTATCATGTCATCTCGTGACTATTGTGTTTGTTTGGTGTGACTGAGCCTCCCAAATCTAATGAATCATAACATCGAATGATTGCTATACCTATATGTGACATTTTATCCTTAACATTGTAGCTTCTGGTTGACAACACCTAATCCTGCTTGTCTCCAGAGGTTGTACCTAATCCTGTTTGTCTCCAGGTTCTGGATGCTCGGTGGTGATTGGTTTCGCTGCTAAAACGACCTGGAGATCACCTGTACTACACGCCTGGGTACACCATCATAGCTACCACGCATAAGAGTTCAAGGTAATTCTGTGTCCATGTTAATGTTAATTTAAGCGGAGATAATAATAATTGTGTACATAGGGAAGAGACGATGTCTACGTCGGGAGATCCCCCGGGAGATCCACGCGACGGTCAGAGCAAAATGTCTACGCCGAGAGATACGCGCGGAGCGCAAAGCCAAACGATTACGCCGACATATACACGCGAACCACTAAGTGATATCACCAACGTCAGCCAAATGATTACGCCGACATATACACGCGAACCACTAGGTGATATCACCAATGTCATAGGTATGCTTAAAATATTTTCGTATGCAAACCTTTTCATATTTTTCACTATTTACTGGAAGGACGTTTTCATATTTTTAGATGAGGAATCGCGAGGAGGAGCAAAGGAATATGCAAAGAACGGAAACGTCGAAATGATATGTCCATGGAACAAAGGGACGAGATCAATCGGAAACAACGTGAGTACCGAGAACAAAAGAAACATGCAACCCGAATAGTAGCACTTCCGGCTGCTTATGTGAGAGACGGTGCCGTTAACTTCAGCATCGTCCATAGGTATTTAATCTCTTTCTATTTTGGACACTTATTATTACACCATAACCCGCTTTTGATTAAGTAGAGGTCAACCATTTTGTGCCACCCAATCATAGGACTTGACGAAACTGCCGACCCACAGAATGAAAACACGCCAAATATATTTTCCAACGGAGATATGGAAACAAATAGTAGAGATGTTAGCGTAGGCACGGCGAACACAAGAGTCAGTACGCTGTCTGTGGACATAAGCGACAATGACCTAGGTATAAGTGATGGTTATTTTGTAAAGGAAACACACTTTTTATGTCTACACACCCCATCTCTATATATTGATTTTAACATGTGCCTTTGTCTCCAGAGACCTACGGACAGTGCCGATGCTAGGAGGGAAGCAAGGAATGCACGTGCACGCAAACGAAGAGTTGAAATGACCGATCAACAAAGGGAGGAAGCTAATAGGAAACAACGTGACCGAGCACGGAGGAAAGCTGCAATGCAAAATAATAGCCCCACCTCTGTTGTGTCCCAAACATTGCCGGCGTC